CACTGAGAAAAGGTCACGTGGCTAAACATCAATAAGAATTATGGGTTAATTTAAGTTTTAAGAGCTACCTAATAATAAGCTTGAGCTAAACAGGTCAAACTGTTTATAATTAATGTAAACCTCTGTGTATTTCTTTGGGAATGAATGACTGTGGGACCTAGTGAGGCAGGAACTTCCACCTACAGACTTGTGTCCTGTAGTATAAACCTGAGAAAGCTGGCTGAGCACTGGCATTCATGGCTCTCTGTCCCTTGACTGTGTATATTGGGGGCCTTGAGTACCAGCCTCAGTACCCCCTCAGGGCTCAGAATTGGATGTCTATGGCAGGTGAAAATCTGAGGGTGAAAAATAACTCAAGTATATTACCTTTGCATCTTCTTTATTTTTCATGTAGTAAAAATGAAGGGGGCGTGGAGGAGAGGAAGAATAAGAAGAAGAGTAAGGGGAAGAATAAGGAGAAGAAATGAGAGTAAGGGGAATAAGTAGAAGTAGTGAAAAGAAGAAGAAGAGTAAGGGCTGATCTCCACCAGGTTTCTAGGTTTTATAGACATAGTTGGAAAATTCCATAGGTAAGGGCAATGATAATATGCATATCAAAATCACTAAAAGGGGCAGGTAGAACCTGACAAAGCTGTACTCTGGAACAGGTGGCCCAACCCAGGAAAGAACCAGGATTCAAGGAGAAGTACCTGACATCCCAAACCACTAGACAAAGTTACTATGAGGGAGGAGGGTCATTTGTCTATGTATTACTTTCATTGGTTAATAAAGAAACTGCCTTGGCTTTTGATAGGACAGCAGCTTAGATAGGCGGAATAGGCAGAACAGAATTCTGGGAGGAAGAAGGCAGTGAGCCAGACGCCATGCCTCTCCTCTTCAGGCAGATGCCATAGCTCTCCTCTCCAAGATGGACACAGGTCAAGATCCTTGCTGGTAAGCCACCACCTCATGGTGCTACACAGATTACTAAATATGGGTTAATCAAGATGTGAGAGTTAATCAGTAAGAGGCTAGAGCTAATGGGCCAGGCAGTGTTTAAAAGAATACAATTCATGTGTAATTATTTTGGGTAAAGCTAGCCGTGCAGAGCTGGGCGGGAATGCAGCCCACCGCTCCTCATACTGCATTACTAAACATCCCTGAATCCTGGATTCACACATTCTTGTCATCTAATCTCCTTGGTGATAACCAGCTTTGAGGATGCCCGGATTTGTTTGCTAGCAAAGGTGGGGCATGCTGCCTTCCTGCTCAGTGCCTACATTCTATAGACATTTCTATGTGGTCTGTTAGCTGGTAATTTTGTGAGATAGACTCAATGTAAATTTGACTCCTAGAACAAAGAGTGAATGTCATTGCTCCAAAGCCTCATGATGTGGGGGAATGGAGCAAGGTCCTTCCATGGCCCAATCAGAGATTACACTGCTGAGGTGTTCTGGGAATGAATCCCGTTTTGAAAGGAAGAATCATAGCTTCGCAAGGTTTCCACAGTTATGACAGTGACTTTTCCAAAAGACAAGTGTTCCCACAGCTCTGCAAAATGGGTTATTCCATGTGGACGTGGACGTATACACTTCCCGTGGATCTGCCTATTGGTCTGTCGGCTGTGCAGTCCCTGTAGAGTCTTGTGGGCTCCAATGTGTGTATCCTAGTAACCTCACACTGTGAGCCAAAACAAACCCTTCCTTACTTAAAGTCAGAGTGTTTTATGACAGCAATAGAGAAATAAATAATACGTCAGTTTGGTACTGATAAGTGTGGCCTGTACTGTGGGAAACCTGAGCACATTGTTCTTAGGCCTTTAGAACTGGCTTGAGGGAAGGATGTGGAAGACTTTGGAGGTTGGACCAGGAAAGTTCTTAAATGCGGCAAGCAGAGCTTACATGAGCTATTCTGATGGGAACCTAAGAGACAAGAATGACCAGAGACACATGGGCAGTGCAGGCCCAGTCAGGGAACAAGATCTCCATCAGGAAGTGGGATGGGCCATTCCTGTGATATTTTGGCCAAGAGCCTGTGTCCTGAGAACTTGAGTGAAGTTGAATTTACAGTTGATGGACTAATTTGTTTGGCGGGGAAAACTTCAAGACAGGAGAGCGTTTAGGCTGGCACTGAGAAAAAACAGCTGTAATTGTTTCAGATACGAGTGCACCAGAGGAGCTTGGCTTTCATTGGGTTTGTGGGCAAGGTGTCCTCAGGGTAAAACCTCACCCAATAGAGACTGTACCTTATGAAAAACCGAATTCATCTGAAGGAAGAAAACCTAAACTGCAGGGGTTCTCTGCTCCTCGAAAACTACTGATTAGAGAAGTATTTCCCCAGGGTCGTAGGAACTTCCCAGTATCACCTGCGTGGCACTAGTTTTCCAAGCATGAGAGAGGCATGAAGTCCTGCTCTGTAGTTCTAGGCAGTGTAAAAGGCAAGGGTGTGACAGGGTTAGAGTCCCTGCAAGGAGGCCCTAAAGTGGGCACTAAATGTAGAGCCTAAATTACAAGAGATGTCAGGATGTTGGGGATATTACAATGGTGGAATGTGTACAAAGGCAAGCTAGAGGCATAGACTGGAGCTGGTATGAGAAATTCTATATATGCTATCTGCTACAGCCCTGGAGAAGTATGGAAATATGAACCTTTTGAAGCCCAGATGATCTAACCATGAGCTCTAGATGCCAGTTATGGAGCTGCCAGATTTGGTGTTTTTCCACATTTGGGTCTTGCTTTGATATTATCATTCATTGCTTTGACCCTATTCTTCCTTTTTGGAATATGAATATTTATTCTGTACCACTGTATATTAGAAGTATTAAACTTGTTTGTATTTTATAGTAGTTAACAACGAAGTGATTCGCCTCGAGTCTCGAATGAGGAAAGAACTTTGGATGCTTTCATTGGTGGAACTGTTAGTGACTGTGGGGACATTTGAAGTTGGGTTCTATTTTGCATTATGGGATGAACATGAGAGTTTAGGGACAGAAGGTGGAAGGTATTAGCTGAAAGTGATGTAATTGGCTGTCACATTGACAAGGGCTGGAGCTGCAATGGTTAATTTCTATTGTCTTGATGAAATCACCTAGGAGATGCACCTCTGGGCATACCTGTGTGCAAGTCTCTTGACCAGTTTGATTGAGATGGGTGAAACCATCTACGGTGGGTGGCACCATTTCCTGGGGTTGGGTTCTAGACTGCATCAATAGGAGAAAGCTGACTGAGTACCAGCATGCATTGCTCTCTGCCTCTTGACTCTATGTACAATGTGACCAACTGCTTTATGCTTCTCTTCCTGTGATTTCCCCACCACAATGGACTAGGACTGCTATCTATAAACCAAAATAAGACTTTTCTTCCTTCAGTTGCATTTGCAAAAAAAAAATTAAGTAACATAAACAGGGAAAGTAAACAGTGCTTGCTTTTATTTGAGTCAAGGTCTTGCTGCATAGCTAAGTCTAACCTGAACTCATCATCTCTGCTTCTGAGTACAGGAATGGCAGGTGTGTGCCACCATATTTAGCTTTGATTTTAGGTTTGTCCCATAGCAGGACAACAATCAAAATCCATGCATAAAGTGATTCATTGTAGAAAAATTTTTAAACCACGTTTTAAAAAAATGCTGTTCACCAGCATAAGGGCACAATTTCACGACACAAAATATTTTTTGTAATGAGGGTATAGTAGGTTTCTGTGAAAGGTTAAATGATATATACTCTTCATTCATCTTCCAGATATTTCCTGAGAGTCAGACTATTCTAGAGAATGTTTCTGTGGATGGTACGGATACCGCTAGGTGCAGAAGAGATGCCAGTGTGAAGCAGTGCTATTCCTCTATGCATCCATCAACTTCAAAGGGGCCAGCAAAAGCTGGAAAAACTCTGAAAAAAAACCAAGCATGTGCCTGGAGGTATTGGTGAGGCCTTCTGATTAATACTGCTTAATTTGTATCAGATCCAAAAGCCTGTGGAGGAGGAAGAATTGAACTTGATCACCATGGTACAAGCTTTCACAAGCCTTTCCGAATGAACTGCGAAGGGTGGAGTCGTAGAAGGAAAGCAGGGGTGGGGTCGATAAAAACAGGAGAGGGGAGTATGCAAAGTGATGGAAGTCTGCAGGCTGGAGAGGCAAGCATACTGGTGTGCAAGGTTGCTGAACGCTTCTAGGAGGGCCAGGGCAGGTAAGAAGGAACTCCGTCTCATTGCTTGCCTGTGGGAAAACCCTCTGGGCTCCGCTGACTGGAAAGACAACATGGGAACAATGGAGGTGGAAGGAGCCAGCACAGAGTGGAGGATGCTGGCAGGAATCCAAGGATATCAAGAATTAAGCAGGAGACTGGAGTGTTTCCAGTGTCGTTCCCACAGGACCATTGCAAAGAATATCTGGGAAGAAAATGCCCAGGAAGAAAATGTTGAATATTTTCTTAAACAAGAGGCAAGGAGGCAAAGGTCAGCAATATCTGGGGTCTGGGAAACGTTCATTACAGATGTGAGAATAAAAGTCAGATGCCATATGATAATGGGTGGATATTTAATTGATAGTGCCCATCTCTATCATTTACATGACCATAACATGTAAATACATTGAGATTGAAATCTTTAATGATATTTTAAAAAGAAGTATACTGTGCTAGCAAGATGGCTCAGCAGGTAAAAAAAAAATAAAATCCCTTGATACACAGGCTTGATGACGAGTTTAATAATGGGGATCCGTGGTGGGAGGAGAGAACTAACCCCTTCAAGTGTTCTTCTCCTTTCCACACACGCGCTGTGTCTACCCACCCATCCAAACCACACACTAATAAAAAACAAAAAATTTAAAAATGTAAAAGGTTCACTCCGGTTGGTCTGACAAATAGCTATAGGAGAGAAAATGCAATGCCATTTCCTTACTGAAAATGGATACAGAAAATATTAAACTATCCCTTACATGTCAGCGATTTATTCAATCACTTATTTGCTTTAAATAGTTCATGTACAGGTGCTAACTGCCAAGGAAAACCAGGCAAGTAGTTCTTACCTGGTGGTGCTGGCTTGAAAAGTTTCTGAACTACTACTCTGTACATAGCCTCATCTTTAACCAACATCTTGGCTGCTTCCAAATTCACTGGGTTTTCTAGGACAGGTTTAGAAAGTAGCCTCTAAAAGAAAGCACATACAACAAACAAGTTCAAAACAAACTTTTCTTGGAATAACAAGACAAGTCAATGCATGTAAACCCAACAAGCATTCAGTGAGTGTAACTGGATGTTTCTCTCCTGCCTGCCAGTTCCTCAATAACCACGCAGAGGCTTAATATTAATTACAAACGGTTTGGCCTATTAGCTCAGGCTTATTATTAACTAGCTCTTATAGCTTAAATGAATCCATTTCTATTATTCTAGATTTTACCATGAGGCTCGTGGCTTGTTACCTCACATCGTGCTTTCCCGGGGACTGCTGGTGTCTAGACATTCTAGGAGACAGGTTTGTAGAGATGACAGAAGATACAGAACATGCCCAGGAAACTCACTTTATCTTGGTTTTATTGTGTGTATTCATCAAACACTGGGGTCAAAGCAAAAGCTTTTATCTTTTATAACATCCATTCTATCATATAAATTTAAATTGGATTTTTATATAAAGTAAGATAAACATTGGAAAACAATAAAAAAGTCTCCCATTACATACTAATAGGAGACTACATTAGATCATGTCTAAACACACAGGTACAAAGATTGCACACATGTTGCTATCCCTTTTGGTCTTTAAATGATTAATTTAGCACCTACAGTAGTTTTCTGTGATTTTTTTTTTGACTACCATAAATTAGCATCTTAAAAGGAACAGTCTTATAATCTGCAGTTTTAGGTGGAAAACTCAGAATGTAGGACTATTTTCTAGCTTTAACAAGGCCAGAGGCCAAATATCAGCAGGCTGGGCTCTTGTCAGAAGAATCTGGATGAAGCACTTTCCATGTTCTTACAAGCATGAGGTTGGCTGAATTCAGTTCCTTTCAGCTGTAGAATTGAGGGTCTCATTATTGTTCAGACTGTTAGCTGGGGGACACCTTCTGCTCCTACAGTCATCTCTTCCATCCTTGTCTTTGATGTTTAGCGTCTCAGAGCCAGCTATGGTGCAAGAGAACCTCCCCGAGCTTGGCATCTGACCTCTCCTTTGGCCACACCCTTCTTCAGCTATCCTCCCTCTTCTGCCTTCTGGTGTTAGGAGGAGACCACGAGCACCTTGCAAAGTATAGACTAACCTTTTTGTCTTAAGGTGAGTTGACTGATAACCAAAATTCCGTATGTATTTCATTCATAGTAGTATGTAGGTTAGTGTCTTGAGGGAATCTTTTTATAATTCTGCATATCACAGAATCCATATACTTCGGCCAAAACAAATGACCAGTGGTTACCAAAATTGTTGTGCTAAAGCATGATTTGCTTATTAGTCACTTCAAAAAATTGTTTCACCCTAAACTAAAAATATTTGTTTATGAATTCAATATTTTGGACATTGCATGTTATAATATGCAGGCTAATAAAATACGGTTAGCAGAATTACTGCATGTCTTACTATTTGTGCTGGTTTGGTTTTGTTTTTCAACTTGACACAAACTGGGGTCATCTGGGAAGAGTGAACCTTAATTGAAGCATTGCCTCCATTTGCTTGACCAGTCAACAAGCCTGTGGTGCATTTTCTGCATTAATGATTGATGTAGGAGGACCCAGCCTACTGTAGGCGGTGCCACCTCCAGGCCGGTGGTTTTGGGTTGCATCAAGCTGAGCAAGCCACGAGGAATGAGGACTTCTCTGTGGACTCCTATAAGCTGTCCTGACCTCTACATGTGTTTCAAAGCCTGTCACCCCCACATAAAGAGACAAATGTAAACTAATAAATAAATGAATGAAAATCATGAAAAGGTTCTATATGGTGGCACACATCTGGAGAGCTGGAAGCAAGAGATGATGAATTTGAGGCCAATCAGGACTTCATAGTGAGACCCTACCTTAAAACAGACAGAAAAATAGGGCAAGCGAGAGTTCATGGGTGAAGGTGCTTGCGGCTAAACTTCTCTACCTGAGTTTGAGCCCTAGGACCCATATAGTGGAAGGAGAGAAACTTCTCCAGCAAGTTGTCCTTTGAATAATAAATGCATACAGAAAACCATAAGCAAAATCAAAACAAAAATTTGGAACTTATAGCAGACTTTCTCAAATGAAAGTAATCATTTTGACATCTGATATTTCAAAAGCAACAAGAATTCTCTGCTTTTACTAGAGTTTTCTCTCTGGGAAACACATTCAGCCTGCATTTCCAAGATCATAATAATTGCCCAAATAAGGATTCAGAGAGGATCCCACCCTACCTTTCAAAGTGGGTGGGAAGCAGAAGAAACTCATCATTGAGAGTAAAGCTTTGGTCTCTGGCTGGAGAGAATCTTACTCAGCAAGGCACATCTGGCAAATTTTATTGCATATTTTCTCCTTAACTGCTGTGTGCGAGAGACTTATTCATATGACATATACATGGCTATTGCAAGTATTTGATGACTTTTAAAAATTGGCATATTTGTTTATACTACTACTATATGTTATTAGTAGATTAGCATATGTGTAAGTTGGACACACTGCTAAAGGAGCCAAAGAGAACAAAGGCTCAGTCTTTAAATTAGACTCATGGTGACAGAATTTCAAAAACAAAAGACTCCAGAAATAAACGGAGAATTCTGGATCTTCAGCAAGTGCCTGTAACAGTAGAGAGATAGGTTTTATAATATCCATTTGATTGCAGCTGATGGTTTTGAAATTTGTTTTATGGATGAGTGTTGATATTTGTCTTTTTATTTTATGTGGAATTTTCTAATTATTTAAGATTGCATTTATTTTGGTGGGATGGCTACTATTTTTAAAATATTTTAAACAACATTTAAAGTACCATCTCTATGAAAAGCAACAACATGGTAATTAGAAATATGGTTTTTTAATTCAAAAGAAAGTAAGCAATAATTATGATTTGTGTCTGTATTGTCCATTACTAGTAAACATTGGTAAAAGGTAGTGGTTTAAATGAAATTACTAAAGAGTAAGTGAGAATTCAGCTCTTTGGCACATTTCAATCAGGCTACAGGCTGGTCCAGTAAAAACAGTTTGGGGAACAGTATGTGCATCGAAGTGCCATAGTATCGGACAGAAATCTAAATACAGTCAGGTACCTGGCAAAGCCAGTGCCCTCCAGACCAATGCCATAAATTCTGCCCTAGGAAAAGGAATCAGAAACGACATATGAGAAGGAGAGGTGCGTGACCTAACTGGGGTGTGAAGAGCCCCTTGGTTGATGGACAGTCTGGAGAGCAGGGACAGAGGTGGGTGGCCATCTGCTGGAGAGACGGCCAAGCGTTACTCGAGGTTCAAGCTTTGCTTGTGTCTATACTGTTAGAGTTTCCATCTCTGTGAGTTCTTTTGGGTCAGAAGTACATCAAGCAATGTGAGTGCAGAAAAGCATGGGGATACAAACAGAAGCAGGATCCCATAGCTGAGTGTGAACCTAAGTGCAAAAAGCAGGTCCTCTGCTCTGGGGCAGAGGAGAACGTAGGAGGCAATGGATGATTCTAACAGAAACTTAGAAGTAAGGATGGGAAGGAAATACATATAGCATTGGAGTTAGAGTTTTCCTAGATATGTATCTGAACTTGTATACATTATATATTATGTGTATGTCTGTGTACCACATGTATACCTAGGGGTCTGCAGAGGCCAGAAGAGGGTTCTGGATCTCTTGGAACTGGAGTTTCAGACAGCTATGAGTCACCGTGTGGGTGGTGGGAACCTAACCTGGGTCCTCTACAAGAGCAGCAAGTACTCTTAAACATTGTGCCGTCTCTCCAGCTCCATGTCTCTATCAGAAGACACGCTCACACGGGCAGATGCTCAGTACATGTTTATAGAGTGAATGAATGAATGAACAAAAGACACGCTCACACGGGCAGATGTTCAGTACGTTTATAGAGTGAATGAATGAATGAACAAAAGACACGCTCACACGGGCAGATGCTCAGTAGATGTTTATAGAGTGAATGAATGAATGAACAAAAGACACGCTCACACGGGCAGATGCTCAGTACATGTTAACAGAATGAAAGAATGAACAGAAGACACGCTCACACGGGCAGATGTTCAGTACATGTTAACAGAATGAAAGAATGAACAGAAGACACGCTCACACGGGCAGATGTTCAGTACATGTTAACAGAATGAAAGAATGAACAGAAGACACGCTCACACGGGCAGATGTTCAGTACATGTTAACAGAATGAATGAATGAACAGAAGATATGCTCACACGGGCAGATGTTCAGTACATGTTTACAGAATGAATGAACTGAATCTTGTTACAGGTCAACACTTTACTGGGTCTGCTAAGATGATTCACCACAATATTAACTTTTATTTTCAGGAATAGAAAATAGAAATTATATTATAATTCCAGTGGAAAAAACTGAATTATCTTAAAAATTATCCTCCAGGTATTCCAGATGGTCAAACTTTAATAATTTATCACCAATATTCTTGGTGACAAATAGATTCCTGTGGGGAGATTGTTCAGCTTCTCTAAACAGTCAAAGCAATGTTACTGTAATAATTAATTTTAGCATTAGATGAAAAAGAAGGACATGGGGCTGGAGAGATGGCTCAGTGGTTAAGAGCCCTGACTGCAGTTCCAGAGGAACCGAGTTCAAGTCCCAGCACCCACATGGCAGCCCAAAACTGTCTGTAATTATAGTTCCAGGGTACCTGACCCTCATGACAATTTAAAAAAGAAAAAGACAGAAAGAAAGAGAAAAAGAAAACGAAACAGGACATAAATGGATATATATGTGTTTAAGAACATGAGCCCAGCAGTGAATGTGGCATTTGAGAACCATTGACCTGAGGAGAGAGTATCTTTGGTTTCATTATTCAACAGGTTTGGTATGAACATTTAGGAGAGAGAGAGAGAGAGAGCAGCTGAAAGCTGAATATTCTAAGGTGTAGCCAGTGAGACCGGTGAGGCCCGGGAATTAGGAACAACTCCAGAGACATTGTTCACTGTTAGAAGCTGAAATAAAGCCCGGATGTATGTCTATAATTCACAACATTTCAATGGTTCCTTTCTTCTTTTATAAAACGCAAAGGGCTTTAACTATCAATTTCAAAATAAGTCTGCAGCTAAAGATCCACTCCTCAGTTCCCAATGAAGAAGTTTTGATTGACACTGGCCAGCTCGTTCAGATCCTTTAAGCATTTAAATATGCTGTGTACACGTTAACCCTTGTGTGATAATGAAGTGGGAGAATTCAATGTGTTAAAACATTAAGTTAGGCATGGTGGTACATGCTCGTAATTCTGGTCCCCAGGAGATGGAGGCAGGAGAATCATGAGTTTGAGGTCAACCTGGGGTTACATAGTGAGGCCCCATCTCAGAGAAGAAGAGAGAGAAAGCGTACATTATAGTAACTGTATTCTTACCTGTATAGCACGTAAGATGCTGAGTATTGTGTAATTTGTGTTCCAGCTGTTCTGGTTGTCCAAAAAGTGTATACTGGGCCGACCGGTATGTGGGTCTACTGTATTAAAACAGCGTATTAGTTTTAGTATTCAAAACTTATAAAGCATCATAGTTTATAAATAATTGACCTACTCTTCTTCCTTTCTTCCTGTTTCATATAATGATAATCACTGCGCGGCTCTCCCGCGTCCACCAGCTTTAGCTGATTAGAGGCTCCTGGTGCAGTAATTTGATAGTATACATTTCAAATACAGTATTTATTTTTGAGGCTCGTGTGTGAGTGTGTATGTGTGTGATTGACATGTACATGTGCGTGTGCATGCCTGTAATACCTAGAAGTTAGAGGAGGAGATCAGGTACTCTGCTCTATTAGTCTTCGTCTTACTTCTTTGAGAGAGGGTCTCTCATTGAAACCGGTGTAGGTTTGTGGTCAGCAAACCCCAGCAATCCCCTTGCTCACAGCCCTTCCTTTCGCAGGGCTGGCGTTATAGGTGTGGGTGGTCATGGCTGGGTTTCTATATGCCTGCTCGGGATTTGAAGTCAGCCCCTTATGCTTGCACAAGCCATTTGCCCAATTTCAAAAGTAGATTTTAATTACAAAGATAATAGTGGACTATGGAGAGAAAGGGGAAACAAGAAAGTGTGAGGTAAAACCTGAGTGTTCCCCGCCTATCAATTCCACTCTTATGCCACATTGATCTACAGATGTCCATCTGTATACCTGGAAGAGCTCATGTGTTTATTATGAGAGAGGGTACTTTGATATTTTCTTTTCAAGGTGTTCTTTTTCATTTAAAATAAATTGCAACCTGTTTCTAGCTGCATTTATTTATTAAAATGTACTTGCATTCATTTATTTGTGTGTATATGTGTGTGTGCATGCGTGTGTGTGTGTGTGCGTGTGCATGTGTGTGTGCATGTGTGTGTGCATGTGCATGTGTGTGTGCATGTGTATGTGTGTGTGTGCGTGTGTGTGTGTGCGTGTGCGTGTGTGCGTGTGTGTGTGTGTGTGCACATGCACATGAAGTTCAGTATATGTCTAGAGGTCAGAGGACAACCTGTGGGAGTTGGTTCTCTCCTTCCACCATGTGGGTTCTGGGGCTTGTCAGGTTGCTCAGCAAGTGCCCTTCCCTGCTGGATCGCTTTACTGGCCCTTGAGATATGCTTATTAAAAAGATATGTAAGCACCTACTATGTGCCAAGCAATGATGATTCTAGGGACACTGCAGTGACCAAGAAAATCCAGCTTTCATAGTCTTCCTTTTCTATATAGAGGAAAGATGTAGTCTTGGAGTTTTACTTAAAAACTTCCTGTGGTTAAAAAAAAAAAAGGACTCCTATGTCAATGGATATTGTCATTATAGTGTGATCCCTGTAGGCATTGGTTTTGAATCCATAGATTCAACTGAGTATCAGAAATAGTCAGAAAAATTAGCATTCATATTTAACTTGTGTGGACATTTTTCTTGTTATTATTTATGAAACAATACAGAAGCACAGCGATGCACATGGCGTTTTCATTGTTAAGTAATCCAGAGATGATTTGAAATGTATGGGAGAGGCTGCCGCAAGGCCATGGTTAAATCTACTGGGAATGATCATCCTTCAATGGAGCATACTTTTGTGCTACTATATCTAACAGGATAGTCTATAAACCTGGGATTTTGGCCTGTAGGATATGTGGATTTTATATGTGATTAGAAAGTGTCAAGTCACTTCCCTAAAAGATCGCCCTTATGGCAGGGACTAATGTCTGCCCAAGCCCACTAGAATTGAATTTTAATGTCTTTTAATGATCTGTAAGCAGAGGCGACGAATCACAATATGTTGTGTTTTAATTTTTATCTATTTTCTTCACAATGAGATTGTTTTGTTGTGTTCTGTCTATCCAGTGTTTGTTCATGGGTTTCACACAGCTTTCTGCTAGTTCACAAGGGTTCTTTATGCGGTATAGATATTCTGTCCTGTACCATGAATGGTCCCTGAGTCTTCACAATACAGTTTTGTTATTTTTTTAGCTTGTTTATAATGTGCATAGCTATAGAGGTTTGTAAACGTTTATATGTTTACATTAGTATCACGGAAAGGCCCCTGTACAAGCCCACAAACAGTTACCCTACGCTGTCTTCTATCTTAGAACCCAACTAAAGAAAATTTAAAGCTTTAGGCAATCCCTTTATGGAGAACTCAGCAGAACAATCTAACATATTTCTATCCCAAAGATTAAGTTGTCTGGAGTATTATTTTTATAAAATTCAACTAAAATAATAAATGATGCATGAACATGTGGACTATCCAGCCATTTAAAATGATCTTTGACAGATGTATGAAAATGCAGGAAAGGTGCTGGGGAGATGGCTCGAGAGACTTGCTGAATTTGGTTCTCAGCACTCACGCTGGATGGCTCATAACTGCTGTCTCCAGGGGACCCAAAACCCTCTTCTCTCCTCCACTGGCACCACACTTATGCGCACAACCACCACCCCTTCACACACACACACACACACACACACACACACACACACACACACACACATAATTAAAAAGAAGAAGTTTTAAAATGCAGGAAAATGACACACTATCTAAACTAAGGCCAAATTCAAAACTCTATGTAACAACTCAACTATGCAGAAAACTGTACACAGGAAAATAAGGAGATATGGTAAAATATCAAAAATGTTGTTTTACTAACTATTCGGATTCAAAGACATTGACAATTTTTCTGCCTTTTAAAGTTTCTCCAATGAGTATTCTTACTTTAACTGTAAGTTGCTAAAGGGGACCATGGCTATTAAACACTATCCCCCACTAAAAAGAATTGCATAGAAAAAGTCATAATAACACAATATTAAGAGTCTCACTTAGTTCTTACCATTTGGATGGAAAGGAATTGTTAGAAATTTCACAACTGGAGGAACAAGGTTGTACTCTGGTGTAAAATCTATTGTCAAGTGGAAAAGAAATCCTGTAATATAGAAATAATGATGCCATTAACGTGTTATGGTTAGCTCTAGCCTGATTGAACACTCCCTCCCTCCATCCCCGGCACACTGCCTCCTTTCATTGACTGATCTCCTCCTTCCCAGAAACTGCAGCAACCTTTCCTGCCTGCAACATGAATGTCCTTCTCCTTTAGAGCTTGGCTTGTACTCATGTGTCAACTCAAATGTTGCTTCTTTAGAAAGCCTTCCTGACTCCTGCGCATGAAATTGCTAATCCACCTCCCCTCCTTGGCATTCTCTCCAAGATCCCTAGCAGCGGATAGGATATTTATATACTACATACATACAAACATATATATATATATATATATATATATATATATATATATGTTTGTATGTATATATATATGCAGTGTATAGTATATAGTATATTTTACTGTCGTTGTTACTTTATATGTTTGTCTTACCCATTTCGCCCAAAGAATCTCTTTTAAATAAATAACTGAAATAACTCAGAATTATTAAAGTTTATAGTGGACCAGTTTCCTTGAGGATTTGACCTCTGGAAATTTAGGGGAAAATTACAAAGGGAAAACCAAGAAAGAACTGTGGAATGCTGAAGTCAACAGGAATTTTGATAGGTATTCTCTGATCTCACAGAGACTATTGGCAAATATTCTTGATAAATATACTTTATTGTGATTGCTTCTTAAAAATACAGTAACATGGGACTGGAGAGATTGCTCAGTGGCTAGGAGCACTGGGTGCGCTTCTAGAGGACCCAGGTTCAATTCCCAGCACTCTCATGGCAGCTACAAAAGCCTGTAACTCCAGTTTCAGGGGATCTAATACATTCACACAGACATACATGCAGACAAATCACAAATTCTATTACATAAAAGTAATAAATACATAAATTTTTTTGTAAAAGAAAAACAATGCAGTAACACGAGGGACTAAGAGTGAGGCCATGGAGTTGTCCTCAGTCCTTCCCACTCACCCACTCCCTCTGGAGACATTGAATTTGGAAACACGAACCTTCCCAGATGGAATTCTGAAGCCCTTCAATCTGAGCTTCCCAGCTCATCATGTCGTCTCTTGTAGGAAAAGCAACGATGCCCTGTCATTTAAAAAAAAATAAAGAAAGAAAGAAAACAGACTAAAATAGTCTTTGTATCTTTGAAAATCAGATTCTGGAGTTCAATGAATTTCAATATTTTGACTTTTTTCTTAGAGTTTATTTGTTGACGTGGGGAGGAGGTATTGCTTGTTTTAAGGTAGATGCCAGGAAACATTTGAAATAATAGTAAATTGAAAACCAAATGCTAAGAGTAGAAATCACTAGTGGGACCGGGAAATAAGGACTGCATATGTGGAGGGCGTGGCCATTTAAGATCCCAATGGGAAAAGGAGGAAATGGTTGGGGATTGGAAAGCATGTGTTTCCTGAAAGTTCCTGAAGATGATGGATGCCATATGGAAGGTAGGATGTAGGGTCATTTTCACTAAAAAGTCTAAACTCAAGTCCATTGTATTTATTAGTTGGAGTTTTATGCGTAAAAGAGAATATAAAGCTTCTTGGGAAATATTATCTTAAGGTGTGTGACTTTTGTTTACGCCACACTTGTTTAACTCCGCGAAGCTGTGATTCTTTGCCTGTCTAAAACACATGATGGTCCTAATAAAGAGCTGAGTGGTCAATAGTGAGGCAGAAACGAGGACAGGATGGACTGGCAAGCAGAGAGAATAAAGAGAAGCAGAAAAGAGGAGAGGAGGCATGAGAGAACAAGGGAGGAGGACATCAGGGGCCATCACCCAGCCAGTCACGGAGTAAGAAGGAGAGTAAGATACACAGGAGGAAGAAAGACAAAAGGCCAGAGGAAAAGAGTGTACAGGTTAATTTACGGTAAGAAAAGCTGGCAAGAAACAAGTCAAGCTAAGGCCGGACATTTATAAGTAATAATAAAACTTAGTATGATTTATTTGGGAGCTGGGTGATGGTCTCCTAAGAAGCAAAAGGAGCAAAAACAACATGCAACAAAAGCTAATTCTTTGTCCAGTTCTAACTCTGCCATTTTTTTTGTTTGCTTTTGGTAATAGATAGATGCATTAAGCTACATTCAATAGTGAAAGTGTAAAATCCAGTGTGAAGCTCCACAGCCTCTTTTTTGAATGGCCGTTTTAATTGTGTGGAAGTTCATTGGAATGTATGTACTTTTGGTTTGGTTAATTTTGGTGTGTGAGTTTTTTATATTAAGTTTTATAAAATTGATTTAGGAAAATAAAATAAAAATTCCCACGTTACTCTTGTATATAAAAACAAACTTTTCCTACATTTAAGTATTGTTTCTATGGAGATTCAAGAATGTGCTTCACAGAAAACCGTGACAGCTATGCTGAGTATATTTGAATAAGTTCAACAAATTCTTTCTGAGCCAGCGTAGTGAATAAGTACATGAGGTGACTATCAAAGCAAACACTGTATTTGTCTTTCTGCATTATCTGCACTGCTATAACCCAGCACTCGATTCTTTTATGCCAGAGAACAACGACGTTTGGACTGAACAGAAGTGTTATTCAACAGGAGGTCCATGCATCTGTAATGTTTATATAGTTGATCCGAAGCATCTCCAGAGGGTTTTTTAAAATTGTGTTTATAGTGGGCATGAAATGGAACATGTATTCTGAACCGTCACCAACAGAGCTATTGTTGGGACCACTGCACACACTCTTCTAAGGATGGCGTTGTTTCTGTTTTTAAAAGGCTTTTCCCATTTCTCCCTCTCATTCATTTTTCATTTTCTATAAATAAGCCCATGGCACAAATGAACGCCAATAACTTCACCGGGGGCACTGGGGCAAAGGGTATTTATTTTTTTCTGCTGCATTAATATTAGGAGGCAAAGATACCTATGCCTTGTGTTGGTAAAGGAAAAAAGTCCTAGGGAGTATGCAGTGGAACACAGATCTCTAAACAAATGCTCAGAAAGTGATGGAGTGGATCCTGGGGTACAAGTCTACACTGAATCTTTCTGAGTGCTAGCTTGCGGGTAGGAAAAAGAAAGGCTACTTAGTTTACAATATTAATGAGTATGACTGAATCTGTCAGTCACTCCTTGACACACTCTGATGCCCAGGGTTTCGGCTTAGAGAAAGCACCCCTCACAATGTACTTACAGTTGTTACCCCTCATGACTTTGAAACAGTAGTTATAATCCTGGAATACTGTAGTGGGAAAGTCGGTGAGCTAAATCATGGCTTATAGAGTAAGTACGGACTAACCTGCCTCTTAAACAGCCTCACGGGATGGAGCAGAACCCTCCACGCCCTGTACTTACCTCATTTCTCTTGTTCTGTAACCCCTTGAACTCTCTTTCCAGCAAGATGTGAGCTCTGGAGTACATGCTGAGGCAGTGGAGGGACTGCCACCTGTCCCTGAACTATCCCGTTTACTCTGGGCAGAGCTCTTGACAGGGATCTCAGGTCATCCTCTGACCCCTGGTTAACGGTTACTAGCTCTCCAGTTAAATGACCGCTAAGATTACGATTTAACAACGACTTTCTTTCCCTCCTCTGACCCTTCCAAGTGGGGACTTCTAGAAGGAGGACTGGAGTCCTTATCTGAGGTGTCTCACTGCCAGCCGCCACCCCCCAAGACAAACTCGGGGAACCACTTGAGAGAAGGCCGCGTATTGGCTGGCAAATTCTCTTTTACCTCGCAGGTGAAATAAAGCTGTGTCAGCTCAGCTCGACTAAGGAAACCAGTTGCTAAGCAACAGGCCTCTGAAGGAGGTGAGGCGTTGAAGTTGTGGGCTTTAGCTACGGGATTGTAAGTCCTCTTAGCCAATCGATGAACAGTGTCAGTGGGGAAGGCCAATGAAGTCAGCATTCAAGACGACAATCCCCGCCTCTCAGTGAACCGGGACACCGCGGTTGTAGAGGGCCTTCCCTGTGTCCCACGACTTGAACTGTAAATTGCAGAAGCCTCTCGAGAACGCCTGTTCACCGTGAGCCTTTCTCTTTGACTGTCAGGGACAGTTAACTACATGGCTAGTACCCAAAGCTCATCACTCAGCTGCCTTTCAAACTACAACCCAAACCATTCCTGCTTCCCAGCTAGGCTTCTACCCCAATTTATTCATTCACGTCTTTTCCAGGCTGGATAGCTGAAAGCAACCCCAGCCCTCCTCTTTAGAGCTTGCACGCATTCACCGAACTTCACTCAAGTTAACGGCTTTGTCTCTCCTAGACACAGAACATCTTCTCCTAGGACCAGCACCATAGACAGAAACTAATACGTGAGCTTACGTGTGCTGATTAAAACGCTCTGATGGGACCTTGCTACTTCCCCAGATCATAATGCCTCCATCTTCATAATTTTATTTATTTATTTATTTATTTATTTATTTATTTATTTATTTATTTAGTTTGGTTTTTCGAGACAGGGTTTCTGTGTAGCTTTGGTGCCCATCCAGGAACTAGCTCTTGTAGACCAGGCTGGCCTCGAACTCACAGAGATCCGCCTGCCTCTGCCTCCCGAGTGCTGGGATTAAAGGCGTGCGCCACCACCGCCCGGCTCGTCTTCATCATTTTAAAGGTCATCTTTGCCTATGATTACCGTGTTCCCACCACTGGTTTTCTTCCCCACTCGAATATAAATGCTTTTATTTCCTTCGCCGTGCAGACGTTTTTTGACTTCATGAGCTTGACTTGTCAATGGCTGGCCTTAGTTATTGAGCAAATGAGTCCTATTCAAGAAATCCTTCCCTACACCAATATCACGGTGGGCGCTGGCCGGGATTTCTTCTAGCGGTTTCAGTCTTCCTTCTGTTTGGAGCTAGCTTTTGTGCACGGTGATCGATACGGGTCTAATTTTATCCTTCTGCACGTAGCCACCCAGTTTCCCCAGCATCATTTGCTGACGAGCTTTTCTGTAGTGAATGTTTCTCATGTCCTTGTTAAATATTAAGTGGCTGAAGTTATGAGTGCTCATGTTCGGGTCTTTAGTCCACTGGTCTACTTGTCTGTTTTTGTGCCAATACCGTATTGTTTATTACTGTAGCTCACTAATGTATCTTAAGATCTGGAATGGTAATCTCTCCAGCACTGTTCTTTTGCTCAGGATTGTTTTGGCTATTCAGGATCTTTTGTGGTTTCATGTGAATTTTAGGATAGCTTTTTCATGTTTCTGTGATGAGTGAGATAGGGGTTTTGATTGAGATTACATTGCATCTGGAAATAGCTTTAGTAGAACCATCATTTTTTGCTATTCTATTAATCCATGGGATGTCTTTCCATTTGCTAGTGTCTTTATCTCTTTCTTTACATGTTTAAAGTCTCTTCTTTGAAGAGGTCCTTCACTTCCTTGCTTAGGTTAATTCCTAGATATTTTATTTGAGGCTATTGTGAATGGGGATGTGTCCATGATCCCCTTCTCTGAATGTTTGTTGTGTGTATAGAAAATCTATTGATTTGTGTAAATGATTCTGTATCTTGCCACATTGCTAAATTTATCATTTCTAGAAGTTTTCTGGTAGAATTTTTGGGATTGTATAGCATCATCTCTACTGTAGTATTATTCATAAGAATAGGGATAATTTGACTTCTTTGTTCCCTATTTGTATTCCTTTAATTTCTGTGTTTTTTCTTTATTGCTCCAGCTAGTTATTTGAGTACATATAGAAAAGGAGTGGAAATAGTGGAATGATATTTGTCATTTAGGATAATGTTGGCTATGCATTTCCTGTATATAGCTTTTATTGTGTTGAGGTATATTCCCTCTAGCCCAATATTCTCTGTGCAAACACCACAAACCTTTCCCCCAGAAATCTTTTGTTCTTTCAGGAATGAACCAGCTGTGTCAAATACATCACATGGAGTGGTTGCTTCAAGAGATTTGCAGAGGGAAGTCCTGCTCTCTCTTCCTGTCCTCCATCATGTCTCAAGATCAAGGTGAAAAGGAGAACCCCATGCGGGAACTTCGCATCCACAAGCTCTGCCTCAGTATCTGTGTGGGGGAGGGCGGAGACAGACTGACCTGGGCAGCCAAGGTGTTGGAGCAGCTCACAGGCCAGACACCTGTCTTTTCCAAAGCTAAGTGTACCGTCAGGTCCTTCGGCATCAGGAAAAAGGAGAAGATTGCTGTTCACTGCACTGTCCGTGGAGCCAAGGCAGAAGAAATTCCGGAGAAAAGCCTGAAGGTACGGGAGGATGAGTTGAGGAAAAATAACTTCTCAGATACTGAGAACTTCGGCTTTGGGATTCCAGAACACATTGACCCGGGCATCAAATATGACCCAAGCACTGGGATCTACGGCTTAGACTTCTATGTGATGCTGGGCAGGCCAGGTTTCAGCATCGCAGACAAGAAGCACAGGACAGGCTGTATTGGGGCCAAACACAGAATCAGCAAAGAGGAAGCCATGTGCTGGTTCCAGCAGAAGTATGATGGGATCATTCTTCCTGGCAAATAAATTTTATCCAAAAGGCCAATAAATTTTTTCTCAGAATAAAAAAAGAGATTTGCAGAGAAGAAATTCATCTATTTATATGCCTCATGCAAATCAGTAACTGTGAACAGTTTGCAACATCTAAGTTCATCAAGTTGGACATTAAATATTGGAAGTGGAGCATATTTAATTTCCTGGATTACCTGATGAAGAATATCAGCAGATGCTGGGCAGTGGTGGTGCACACCTTTAATCCCAACACTCAGGAGGCAGAGGCAGACGGATCTCTGAGTTCAAGGCCAGTCTGGTCTAGTTCCAGGACAGCCAGAGCTACACAGAGAAGCCCTGTCTCAAAAACCAAAAACCAAAAAAGCAACAACAAAAACAATGTAGCAAGCAAAGTAATGACTAACAAGGAACAAAGAAATAGGCGACAGATAGTAAGACATCAGATCAGGGCTCAGACTTGGTATGCAGTGTACAAGTTACCTGTTCTTTTCCAGACAGGGTCCTTAGATAAGGAAAATGTATTCAGTTGGGTAACAAATTTATAAACGGAGAATGCTTGTTTTTCCCAGCCGCTCAGACCTGAATAAACACACAGAAACTATGTTAATTATAACACTGCTTGGTCAATAACTTAGGCGTATTCCTGGTTAACAACCCATTTCTATTAATCTATGTAATGCCATGAGGCTTACCTGATAATATTCTGGTGGGCATCTTTCTCTTTTGGCAGTTGCATGGCATCTCTTTAACTCTGCCTACTCTCTCTCTATCTCTGTTCTGACTTCCCATCTGGCTTTCACTCTGCTAAACCTTTGGTCCAAACATTTATCTTTTATTAATTTATTCATTATCTAATAAAAGCAACACATATACAGAGGAACATCTTGAACCACCAATTCATCTCTGATCATTATTTGAACAATGTCTTTGACTGCTGGCAACAGCAAATCCCCAGCAATGGTAAGTTTCATAGCTCTGGTGATTCTGAGTGTCATCAAATATGAAGCTTCAATAGCTGCTATGTATTGTTTGTTGTAATTGTCACTAGAATCAAATCTGGCTTTCTTGAGTAAAGGGACCAGTTTTGGGTAGGTTTTTAGCACAAAGGAGATTTATTTGCCCCAGGGGAAAAAAGGGCAGGGAATAAGAGACAAAAACAGGAGATAGAAGATGAGGGAGAAGGGAAAGGGAACAAGAGAGAGGGCATGGGGTATTTGTCCCTAGGGACAAAGAACTGCCCTTTAGACAGAGAGGAGACTGGTGTGACCTGGTAGTCAAATGTCAGGTTATAAAGGTAAAAGGGGAGCTCTCATCCCCTTAGGATGGGGTGTTTTGTTTTGATTGGGCATGTTAATTAGGTGATTCAAAGGGGGCTTTTGAGTTCTGGATGACAAGTGAACTTTGGTAGTCATTCTCAGGGGGAGGAAGTGACTAAATAAGGGAATAGACCTTTAAGAGTATAATCGAATGGTTCTTAGCAAGGCAGAGGGAATGGAGAAAAAGGGTAAACCCTGCCAGAGTCATATTTGCCATGCTTGGATCGGCTAGAATTCCTTCATGAGTCCATCAGCTTTGTTTCTGTATGTGTTTCTATATTCTATATATAAATATATATTATATATTTGACAGCAAAGCTTGACTGCCTGCCATTAAATGGTGTTTTATTTGTTCGATTTCATAGATTCAGCTGATAGAACGTTACAACAAATAACACCCTGGTCTTTCTCAAATCCTGTTGTACTTATTAAGGTAAAACCATACCGTAAAAAATCCTCACTATAGCCAGGTGTGGTGGTGCATGCCTTTAATCTCAGCACTTTGGGAGGCCGAAACAGGCAGATCTCTGTGAGTTCGAGGCCAGCCTGGTCTACGAACATAGTTCCAATATAGTGAAGGCTACATGAAGAAACCCTGTATCAAAAACCAAAAACCCTCACTGTATTTTC